GGGTGCAAAGCTGGTTCTCAGGCTCTGTAAGCTCTCAGAATTGTGACAACAATCTTCCTTTTTGTTTTGTTTTGTTTTGTTTTGTTTTTTTCTAATAAGAAGAGACTCTTGAAATACTACTTGAAAATTTTTGTTTGCTTGGGAAGACACATGTTGAGAGGAAACTGCAGGCGACCACAGATCAACGTGGCGTGCCCAGAGCCACACTCATCGTGGGAGCCTTGCTTGGTGCTCTTTGCTGTGAGCCCAGCACCTGCACATCTCACCCACAGGAAGTCGTTAGTGACGCACCTGCCTCACAGCTGACGGCCGTTCGTGTTATTTCACCACCACTGCGTCTCTCTGCCTTTACAAACGGAAGGGTACAAGCTGTGTCTGTCCACTCCTGTTATACCAACCTTTTATCACACAGTGGACATCTGCAATGGGATAATTACATAAACGTTTCATTTTTTTGTGGTTCATATCAAATAACCATTGTATTCCTCTGACTTTTCCCAACTCTGCTCCATACAAAAGAGTGTCCCCCAAAATTGCTCCTTTCCCTGAAACTCTATGTAAATGGCAGAAATGAGAACAATGAATTCCTGGTTAGGACTTGGATGGTAGCGAGCAGATCATGTGGGATGCCTGCTTTTTCTCTGCAATGAGAGGAAGTCCGGTTTGAAACAGAGGTCACAGAGAGATAAAGAGAGGAGAGAGAGAGAGAGAGAGAGAGAGAGAGAGAGAGAGAGAGAGATGGTCCATCTTCTGGTTCACTCCCCAAATGCCCACAGCAGCAGGGTGGGGCCAGGATGCAGCCAGGAGCCAGGAGCTCTACCTGGGTCTCCCGCATGGTTGGCAGGGACCCTGTACTCAGGCCATCCTTTGCTGGCTCCTGGACACACGCGAGGGAGGTGGATCAGAAGTGGAACAACCAGGGCTGGCCCTCGCATTGCATGCAGGGAGCTTTGTCCTGGGCTTCGCTTGCCCTGCTGCACTGTACGTGGCTCCTGTCATGCTCTGGTCACCCGTCACTCCTCTGCTGGCCCCAGTGTGTCCCTCCAGTGTTTGCTCTGCTCCCTGGCAAGAAGCCTCCTTGTGATTCCTGTTTGAAGAGGCAGCTGATGAGCTGAAGAGAAGCCTGGTAGTGAGCCCTGGCAACACAGAAGATGGTGGCTTACTCCTGGCTTTGTTCCCACGCCTTCCCCCCCGTGCTCCATCCTTCCCCTCCTGGCTCTCTCCATGCCAATCCCATGGCTCTGACTGTAAGCCCACCCTCGGGCGTGCATCACGCGGCGTCACTCTACTCCAGTAAACAGTGGAGTTTATGTGACCGAGTGCTCCAGTCGTCCTCAGACAAGGAGTGGAGCAAGCCAGGTGCCTGGGGGTTTGGAGCTTTTTCATTTTGTTTTATCTGGTTTAGTCAGGACTTGAGGTGCAGGAGACAGGATTATCCACATTCTCTAGCTGATCAGAGTGGATCAGAATGATCCAGAATGATCCGGAATGATGGCCTACACACCAACAGGAAGTATCCCCTTGGCTGCTGGCTTGAAGGACTTTCTCTGCCACTCACACACCGGCACCTGGGGCCCAGTTTCCTGAGGAAGCTGCTGTCTGTCTGTCTGTGGCTGGCAGGGTTCCTGATTAATTTCTTCTCACTTTAAGACATTACAATCACTTTCCCAATCTGCCATCTGCCTATTGGCCTTGAGGATGATGTCCCCGTCATGGAGAAATTAATTTTAAAGAACCAAATTCATGCGATTTTGTCTCAAGACTGCACTTCAAATGTTTTGTTTAAAGCACTTCATGTATCCAAATTCAAAAAAGATTTTTCTGCGTGTTGTATTAAATATGCAGTTCTTTCTTTTATGAATAATTTTAGTCTTTAATTTGTGTCCATATAACTGGAGGGGAACTTTCCAGACACCATGCTGAGCCACCCCCTCACTGGCTGTTTGCTTGTGTTGCTGGCTTGGTCCTGTATGCGGTCTCCAAACCTCCAGCGATCTTTCTTGAGTGCTCTCTTCTACTCCACTGAGTCTTTGCTTGTCACTGCAGACACTGTGATGTGTGGATGTGTGGAGCACCCGTCTAGGGAGCAGACAGGAGGAAGGATAGTCTGCATCTTTGGGAGCAATGCTGAGGCGCACGGACACCCGCCCACAAGCCGACATGTGTTCCCCAGTGAGGGAGCCTCCACAGCCTTACTCAAGGGAAGGACTCCTCCCACTGCGCCCCGCCCACCAGGGAACCTGTCAAAGGAGAGGCTTCTCAGAAGTGTTAACAATGGGTGCTAATTGTTGTGGTAAATCAAAAAGCTGTCATGACTGAGGCCAACTCTCACAGAATTGACCAATTAACTTGATAAAGAGCATGTTGCTTTGAGGTACTCAACAAGAGGGTTCAAAACCAGATGCTAGAAATGTGAGTAATACCATCAATAATTAGTGACATTATTTTCCGTTCTTGTCTTCAACATACTTTTATCGCATCCTAACTTTTTCATATCTGTCTATCATTTTTACAAGTAAAGGAGAGATGTCACTTTCAATGGTACCTGGACCCAGCTTTTCACTGGAAGGTGGTGCCATGGTTCCAGCCCTAATGGGCACTGGTGGGGCTGTGGTTCCAGCCCTGGTGGGCACTGGTGGGGCCGCGGCTCCAGCCCTGGTGGGCACTGGTGGGGGACGCGGTTCCAGCCCTGGTGGGCACTGGTGGGGGACGCGGTTCCAGGCCTGGTGGGCACTGGTGGGGCCATGGTTCCAGCCCTGGTGGGCACTGGTGGGGCCATGGTTCCAGCCCTGGTGGGCACTGGTGGGGCCGTGGCTCCAGCCCTGGTGGGCACTGGTGGGGGACGCGGTTCCAGCCCTGGTGGGCACTGGTGGGGCCGCGGCTCCAGCCTTGGTGGGCACTGGTGGAGGACGTGGTTCCAGCCCTGGTGGGCACTGGTGGGGCCGCGGCTCCAGCCTTGGTGGGCACTGGTGGGGGACGTGGTTCCAGCCCTGGTGGGCACTGGTGGGGGACGCGGTTCCAGGCCTGGTGGGCACTGGTGGGGCCGTGGCTCCAGCCCTGGTGGGCACTGGTGGGGCTGCACAGCTCTGGGAGCCTCTGAAGAGATTGCGTTTCCTTGCAGGTGGCTTTGACCTTGTTTGACTTTGACCTTGTTTGACCTTGATGTTTAACTGGGAGTCCTTTCACTCAATGTTTTCTCTTTCCTGTTTGCTTTCTTTCTGGTAGTAATTTTTCCGTTGCTTTTTTTTTTTTTAAATTACTTTCCCCTCTGATTTGACCTGCACTTAGGTTTCTCAGAAGCAGCTCTCTGAGTTTTCTTTTCTGCTCTGTCAGCTTTCTTTTCAAGGATTCTCTTTCAAGGTTTTCTTGTTTCTTTGTTTACATTTATTTATTTATTTGAAAGGCAGAGTTACAGAGAGCCAGAGGCAGAGAGAGAGACAGAGACAGAGAGACAGAGACAGAGAGAGAGACAGACAGAGAGAGAGACAGAGACAGAGAGAGAGAGACAGAGAGAGAGAGGTCTTCCATCCGTTGGTTCACTCCCCAGTTAGCTGCAACGGCTGGAGTTGCTCTGATCCGAAGCCAGAAGCCAGGAGCTTCTTCCGGGTCTCCCACGTGGATGCAGGGGCCCAAGGATCAGCTGATGGAAGATTTCTCTCTCTCTCTCTCTCTCTCTCCCCCCCCCCACAACTTCTCCTTTCAAATAAATAAATAAATATTTTTGAAAAGTTTCTAATACATTAATTAGTGCTTATTTTTACTGGAGTGGTGTGGCTACTGTCCTCTGCTTCATGCCTTGTTTCTGGAAGCATCCTCAAAAACTGAAGGATGCGTTCCTCACTTTACCTCGTTCCTTGGTCGCTCACATGGTTTTTCATCATCCTGAGAAGCACTCTCAGACATCGCCTTTCTGTGGTGGTGGGAGCCCTGGGAAGGCCTGGCTGTGCCGTGGCACCGGGACACGTGCATCTCTGTGACTTCCCAGCCCCCTCTTTTCTTCTCTGCCTTCGTGGCCAGGCCTCCCAGGGGCTAATGCCCTGCTCATCTCAGAGCCAGTGAGCTCAGGAGCGCATGTGAGGCCGGCCCCTTCCTCCCCAGCCCTTCCTCTCAGCGTGCAGGCTCCGACCACCCAGGTCTCAGATGTGTAGACAGCTCCTTGTTCCAGGTGGGAACCTTGCTTTCCACAGGTCCTGTGCCTCGCTCACCGCTGAGGACGGCCGCACCTCCTCCTGTGCCTTCTGGGCCTCACGTCTGCCCGGTGCTCTCCTCACATGTGGACTCAGACCTGACTCTGCCTGTTGCCTGCGCATCTTTGTCCACGATGCCGCGGAAGCTTGGTCTTTAGCTGCCTATTCGTCATGTTCTACTCGTGATCTTCAGTGGCTTTGTGTACTCTAATTTTGAGCTGTATAATTTTGCAGGATGCACATGGGGATATGAGGCTTCTCAGCTCTCAGTTTCCCACAAGAATTTCACTTGATCCTGGGTTCTTCTTTGAGCATCAGAAGAGGAAAACACTTTCTTGTCAAATGAGAATTTTGCAGTCTTTGTGACATCCCCAGTTTCACAGTGAGTTTTGCTGCTCCATGTATGTTTAATACGGACACTTAAAACATCTGGAACTGTTCCTGTGTTTCCAAAGAACACATATGTGGGACCTGATTTCCAGATGCAACATTTTGTACTTGAATATCACATCTCTGTAAACTGTGAAAAGCAACGGAAACATTCCCGCCTCTGTTCTTCAGCCCTGAGAAGTGAGCTGGGATCTCCCAGGCTGAAGCCTGAGACTTGTTGCCCAGTGTGCCTGGGATGGACTGTGGCCCAGGCCTCCCAGGGTGGACCTCACAGAGACCCGGGACAGGGAGTCTCTGACCAGCCATACTCGCTCTGGATTTAACCAGAGTCCAGTGCAACGTCCTCAACTTCAGAGCCCGGCAGGCCCTTTCTCAATTCCAGCCCCTAAAGACAACAACAAACGAACAAAACAAGGAAACCAAAGTGTTCTGTCGTTCCTAAGTATGATGAGTGAGTTTCCAGCCATCGTGTGGGATGTGCCTCTCTGAGACCTTGTTAGGGCAAAAGCACATTGCAGATCTGGAGAGACAGACAGGGCAGAGGAAAGGGGAGAGAGAAAGAGAGAAGCAGAGTCAGAGAGGGGAAGAGAGAGAGAGAGAAGGAGGGAGAGAGGGAGAGAGAGAGAGGGAGAGAGGGAGGGAGAGAGAGAGGGAGAGAGAAAGGGAGAGAGAGAGAGAGAGAGAGGGAGAGAGGGGGAGAGAGAGAGGGAGAGAGGGAGAGAGGGAGAGAGAGAGAGAGAGAGAGAGAGAGAGAGAGAGAGAGAGAGAGAGAGAGGGAGAGAGGGGGAGAGAGAGAGGGAGAGAGGGAGAGAGGGGGAGAGGGGGAGAGGGGGAGAGAGGAAGACTCTTGGAGTCCAGTTCCTCTGTGTTGCATGGACACAGCCCATGGTGTGCTTTAATTATTTGGACATCAGCTTCTAACAAAATACTTCCTCCTTCCCCATGCACACCACGTGAAAACTCAAGGGAACTACGCTCCGGTGTCCCCACACCATCAGCCAGCCTGCTCTCTTCCTTCCCACCGAGCCGGGGGCTCGGGTACACTGGCTTTCCTGGGGCCTACCCAGACGGCCCACGCCCCACCTCCCCCACTTGGTGATCGCGTGCTCCCTCCTCCTGGTCTGCTGACTCCGTCTCCCCCATCTCCTGTCTCTGAGCACAAACTGCAGACACCCTCACGGTGGCAATGACACTGGCGAGGTCTGGCAGTGGCTCATGCTCCAGAACTGGATTGCTGTGGAAAGCTGCTGCGCTGCTTCTCGCCTCCGAGGTGTGACTTCGCCCAGCTGAGCAGCGAGGGCAGAGAGCGTGAGCCAGGCCAGGCTTGCAGGCAGCAGTGCCGATGCCACCCCCACTCCTTCCTGGAGTCCCTGCCTTAAGTCCTGCTCCACTTCCGGCTCCAGCTTCCTGCCATGTGCACCCTGGAAGGCAGCAGGGAGAGGCTCAAGTACTTGGGTCCCTGCCAACCATGTGGGGAGGCCTGGTCTGGGCTCCAGACTCCTGACTCCGGCCCTGACCAGCCCGACTGTTGTGACTACTGGGTGAGCGAGCCAGCACATGAGATCTCTCTTTCTCTCTCTCCCTCTCTCTCTTTCTCTCTGTCTCTCTCTGTCTTTCAAGTAAAAGTGAAAATAAGTAAATACAAATTTAAAAAGAAAGGACCCTGGTCATCTTGCCATGTCCATGTATTGCATATGCCCATGTGTCATGCATGTCCATGTGTCACGTATGTCCGTGTATCGCATATGTCCATGTGCCACGCATGTCCATGTATCACGTATGTCCGTGTGTCACGTATTTATCTTTAACCACAATCACTGCTCAGCGTCTTCACCCAGTGCGAGCCTGACACTGACCTGTGGAATGAACTGAGCTCTTGTGGGTGGTGGTGTCTCCTGTGCCCAGGATTGGAATTCCAGACGTGATGACATATTTTCCTGAAACCAAGAGCAAGAACCGCTGTATCTATGGACTTTTGTGTACCTGAAACAGACAGCAGCGATTCAGGGCCCACTGGCATTATGGGTTTCTCTCTTGTTGTGTCTCCATTGAAATTTATATCATTACCCAGAACAGTTCATTCCCATTCAGTGTCTGAAAACTGTGTTCTATCAAACAACGTCTGCACACCCATAATGTGCGACACAAACCATCTGCCCCTTCAAGTGCTGGTCTCAGTGGGTATCATGGGCAGGAGGTGGGAGTGAGTTATGAGATCTCTAATATGAGCTCGTGGACCGAAGCCCAGTCTTCTCACATTCTGGATCCATAAAGTAGCAAAGAGAATCTCAACGGCCGATGGGTGAGAAGTAGAGAGGGTTATGGTCCAGGACCTGGGCCCCTGCCACCCACATGGGAGAGCAGGATGGAGTTCCTGGCTCCTGGCTTTGTCCTGGCCCAGACCTGGCTGTGTAACCACTTGGGAAGTGAACCTGTGGATGCAAGAACTCTCTCCTCTGTGTGTCCTCCTCTCTGTCTCTCCTTCTCTATTGCTCTGCCTTTCAAATAACTAAATAAATAAAGCTTTTGTAAAAAAGAAGTGGAAAGTGTTTGTGTTGGAAATCTCATGTGCACAGGCCCGTTGTCAGGGATGACAGGCTTATGTCGACTCTGTGCCGTGGCTTTAAATGCTGCTGGTATCTCTGGCTTTTCCTTAGAATACAGGAGGCTGGACGACTGCATTTCCACCCACACACAAGCCAAACAGTGTTGGGCAACCTTCAAAGTCTTATTTTCTTCCGCCTATGGAGAGCTGGACAAGACAGCTGTGAAGGAAGCACACCTCCAAGCAGACACGGCCCAACTCTTGCTTACCTGGAGCAGGTATCATTGCCTAGCAACCCTTCCACCTGCTTGCTTGTCTCATAAAGAAAAACACCAGCTGCAGTGTCTCCTAAGGAGGAGATGAGAGAACCCAATCGCCTGTCCATTCAAAGGGGTCAGGGGATGGTGCACAGCTGGGCAGAGCCAGAGGTGGGAGCAGCACAGGTGCAGGGTGGGGCCTGAGCAGCCGCAGGCTGAGCTGGTGCACGGCGTTCAGACACAGCTGCGGGGCTGTCCCTGGGGCTGTGGCATCCTGCCTGCTAAGAGACCCTGAGGTAACTCGGGCCAGCTTCGGTGCTCCTCTGCAGGCTCCAGCCACCACGTTGGCTGCAGTGGCTCAGTCAGAACTAAACAAACATAAACAAAATAAACAAACAGAAAACCTCAGCAGATTTTTAGCAAAGATAACTATTATGGAATAGCCAATTGCCATACAATGGGAAACTGATGATGTCATGGACTGCTAGAATGTTCAGCAAAGGGAGGGGGAGACTTTCTTGCCCATGGCTTCAGTGTGGGAGAATATTCACTGGTGCGAATCATTCTGTGAAAACCAGGGTTTCTCCCCAGAGGCCAGGACTAAGCAAGTGTGAGAGAACAGAACCCCTAGGCACTGAAGACAGGTGGGCAGTCAGACTCCCCAGCCTGGAGACAGCCAGGAGGCAGCATGTGAGATGTACAGGAAGCTGTAGGCTCTGCAGGGCAGATGGGCGGGGTGGGCACCTGTGCTCCAGGAGGTCCTGGCTCCGGCTCCCCTGGCACCAAAGCTGGGGGCTGGTGGGCGCAGATTCAAGTCCGTTCTTCCCACTGGAAGTGCAGTGAGGTCTCCAAACTGTTCATGGAAAAAGCAAATGAAAAGCTGCAGAAATTTTAAGCATTTTTTGCATCAAAATAACTTAAATCTTTTCCTTCCATTTTTCCAAGAACTGTTTGGGGGACTCTCAGATTCCAGCTGTGATAAGGGGGCAGGGAGAGAGACAGACAGATGCTGGCAACAGCCAGTGACAACAGACAGGCAGGAAAACAGAGATTTCTACACGTCTTCTGTGGCCAGAACCTGTTGAGAATCCGCCACATAAGCTGGTGCTGAGCCAAGACTCCTGGAAATGTGACCGCTCCCCAGCTCTGGCCACTGTTGCTGCTTCATAAGAATCTCGGGGAGGAAATGGCCACTGCTGTCCGTCTCAGAGAGGAAGCCCTGCGGGAGGTGGGTAGGACATGAAGACAACTCCCACCACGGACTCCGGTGGGCGGCAGGAGGAGTGTGCACCCAGCTGGGAGTAGTCCACTTTGGCTGAGGCACAGAGCATGCGCCTGAGAGGAGGGGCAAGGCTTGGAAGGACCCCAGACGAAGCTACAAGCTGCTCAGGGTGTGTGTGATGAGGATAATACCTAAGAAAGCTGGAATTAACCCTGTGGTCAGGGCAGACGGAGGCTGTCAACAGCAGCACTGTTCACGAAGTGTGTGAGTGGCAGTCAACGCTCGGACAAAGGTGGTATGGAAAGCAAGGAAGCTTGTGGGCAGGACCTACCAGGGCCTCCGCACCTCAGCCTGAAGGTGTGGGGGACCCACTGTGCGCATCCCATAGCAGCAGTTGTGTGTCAGTCTTTCTCCAGAAGTGCAGCCAGACAAGGTCAGATCTACAGCCCGACATGCAGCCCAGCTCAGACGCCACTCTCTCGGTCTGTGTAGCCTGAAGCCCACAGTAAACAAGAACGCTCGACACACCTCATCTCAAGTGGGTTGTGTTAGGCTACACACCCTTCCCAAACCCCTATTGCTCTGTTATTGTTGGTATTATTAGCACAAAAAAAATACCAATAGAACCTGAGATCTTTAGAAAAGGGGGTGGTGGTGCTGTGGCATAGCGAGATAAGCTCTCCGCTATGGCCAGGAAAAGCAGTGCAAGATAGCCCAAGTCCTAGGGCCCCTGCATCTGCATAGGGGGAAGCTCCTGGCTCCTGGTTTCGGATCATCGCAGATCCGGCTGTTGCAGCCAATTGCGGAGTGAACCAGTAGATGGAAGACCTCTCTCTCTTTCTCTCTCTGCCTCTCCTCTCTCTGTGTAACTCTGATTTTCAAATAAAAATAAATAAATCTTAAAAAAATCAACAAAAGAACCTGACATTGAAAATGGTAATACCAAGAGTACCTAAAACACACTCAGATAATGCTGTATACACAGATACAAAAACCAGGAGACACACTACCAAATATGTTAGGTCCTCTGTCGAATGCCCACAAAAGATAACCATGAAACAGGTCTTTGAAGAAGAGAAAGGCCAACCAGGAGGGAAGAAGCAGGCTCAGACCGGCCGGGGGCAGTTTCCTGGCATAGCTTGGAGGGGGCTTGTAGTGGAAATGCCACTGAGGCAAGTCCTGATTGGGGGTCCTGGAATCAGTCCAGCCAGACAAGGGGGCTTCAACTCCAGACCTCAGGAAGGGCTGTGGGGCAGGTGCTCCAGCGATGCCAGCCTGCGGCACTGCAGGTCAGGGCTGCTGCTTCTGCCCCTGCCAGGTTGCCTGGTTGTCTGTGCTGTGTTCCCTCTGCAGATGTGCGACCATGTCCTAAGCAGCTCTCGTAAGGGACAGGGACTTAACCAAACAAGCATGGTCAAAGCCCACTGTTACAGCAAGTGATGAGAAGGTTTCAGGGACAGATGGGAATATAACAGAAACTGTTGAGTTGGGGTTGACAGGAG